CGAGATCTTGCCGAGAACGATCCTCGATGCATCCTCCGCGATCAAAGCCAAAAACGGAGTCGTGATCCCGTGCGACAGTGTGCGAAGTGAATAAAGCAACTGACACTCGGCCAGTGATAAATGCGGTTTAGAACCAGGACCAGACGCGCCTCGTGCCGGAAGTCGATGGACTCGCGAAGCTGACGAAAGCTGATCCACGTAGGCGATCGTGTAAACGGTGCTCGTTCACCCGATTGTTCACCCTTCTCTGTTTATCCGAGCGAAGTGCAAGGTACACGCGAGTTCTCCGCTCTTTCACGGCCTTGCCGCTATACACGGGGCAAGAAAATGGCGCATTTTCGACGACCAGCCAGGCGGGAGCACTACAAACCCTTTGGAAGGAGGAAGGTAAACGAACGAGACTAACGAATCATTTTTATCTCTACTAATACCGATAATAAGATCGAACAAATTGGGGGGATGAAACGAGAAAAATCCCTCTAGATATTTGGATATAATTATCGATTTATCTTTTTTATTAGTCTAAATATTTTTATTTATTATTAGTCGAAACGACAGGGGATAAATGGAATTTTATGGAAGATGACGAGAAAGAAATCTTGTTGTCCTTCTTCCAACAGAATTAAAAAATCTATTAATCTTAACAGATTTCAGATTCAGGTTGTTAAAATGCCATTTCAATCCTCATTATCTGTATATGAATAATTAAGTATATATATATATATATATATGTATATATAGGTTAATAAATTTAATATCGTTGCGCGAAACGAGAAAAGATTGATACGAGATCGAATAACAACGGGACGACAAAATTGTTTTCATAGGAACGACTTGTGTAACCGATCTATTCTTAAAATTGTACTTTAAATGACAGGATGCTCTAATGCCGCGTTTCTACTGAAATAGCTGCGACGTCCTTCGATGCTCGAAGAGTGTCCTCTCGGTCGCCAAGTTTGCCAAATCAGCCTTCTGCAACGCGTGTTTTGCATCATTTGCAAATTGTATACGGCTTCTCGCGCAAAACCATCGAATCTTCTCCCTGCCTATTTTCTGAACGTGTCTCTTCCACGAATACATGCGTCTTTCTACCGACTAAGGATAGCCTCTTCGATTCGATCGGTTTGCGGCTTACGACTCGACACGGCGAAACAGACATGCGCGTCCTGCTCCGTGTAGCGAACTCGTGCCACGCTTTGGAAACTTATCTTCCAATTACTTTCGTCTTAATTAAGAAACAGGGGCAGGTCGTTGTTCCCTTCGATTCGAAACAAACACTTTCGTCGCGAAAATTTTACGTAAATAATACGATCCTCCACTTTGCACGCTTTACGGAGGAAGAAAAGAGGAGCCTCTTTTCCTTTCTTTTCGTGTAATAATCATGGTGATTCCGCGAGAAAGTTTAAAAGAGGACAAGTGGCGAGAGTATATCAGCTTAACCCAGTTTATGAATCAACCTGTAACCCAGCTTGAAAGGAGAAAAAGTTCTCGTGGAAACGAGATAGTGGCGGG